TCTCATTGCCCACTCCTCCCCAGATGGCTGATGCCTCACTTCTTTTTCTTTTAGTCCTCATCCGAGGGTATGCTTTTTAAAAAAAAATTATTTTAGAGCGAGAGGAAGGGGGTGAGAGAGAGAGAAACATTGATGTGGGAGAGAAACATCAATCAATTGCCTCCCAAAAGTTCCCCAACTGGGGATGGAACCCGCAATCTAGGCATGTGCCCTGACTAGGAATCGAACCTGCAACCTTTTGGTGTATGGGACAATGCCCCAACCAACTGGGCCAGGGCTGTGTGTTTCACTTCCTCACTTCATTCAGGTGTCTGCTCCAATGTCCCTTATCAATGGCAAGCATTAGAGAGGCCCATTCTGAACCCTGTATCTAAAGCCACAGTCTGCTCACCTGCACACACTCAGCAGGAACCTTTCATCATGGCTTGGCTTCACTGTGACTGGCTCCTCACCGTCTGCAGAATGAAGCCCAAATTGCTTAGGACATCTAGGCATCCCGTGACCATTTAGCCACTTTCTGGCTCTCCAGCACATGGCTCACTATCCCTCTTAGCCAGCGGTTCTCAACCTGTGGGTCACGACCCCTTTCACAGGGTCGCCTAAGACCATCCTACATATCAGATATTTACATTATGATTCATAACAGTAGCAACATTACAGTTATGAAATAGCCACGAAAATAATTTTATGGTTGGGTCACAACATGAGGAACTGTATTTAAAGGGCCAGAAGGTTGAGAACCACTGCTCTAAGCCGCTTGCCTGCCTCACTCTGAGTCACTCACAAGAAACCCAAGATAGGGAACAAAGTGATAAAGAATATGGTAGAGGGTTAAAGGACTTTATCAAATGTAGTTATATTCTTTTTAAAAAAATATATTTTATTGATTTTTTTACAGAGAGGAAGGGAGAGGAATAGAGAGTTAGAAACATCGATCAGCTGCCTCCTGCACACCCCCTACTGGGGATGTGCCCACAACCAAGGTACATGCCCTTGACCGGAATCGAACCTGGGACCTTTCAGTCCGCAGGCTGATGCTCTATCCACTGAGCCAAACTGGTTAGGGCAAATGTAATTATATTCTTACACAGAATTCACATTCATTGAACTTTAAACATTGGATGATATGTAAATAGCCACTTTTCAACCCTTAAATTCCACTGACATTCATCCCATAAAATGTATATTCATATAATCAATACTAAAGGCAAATGATATACTCACCCACAGTTTAAATTTTTGTAAAAGGATCTCTACTTGAATAAGTTTCCCTGTGCTGATATTTATTCTCCTCTGTAGCCATTGGTATGATCAGAGATTTTCTCCTAATTTAAAAGGGGGCATACTTATCAATAGCTTAGACATTTTATTAGAAGAGAGAGAGGCGGGGGGATGTGTGTGAGTTTTAGAATGAACATTTCTATTAAGGGTAATTCAGGAAAACAAGAATTTATAGCTCAGCAATAAATAAATAAATAAATAAATAATCCTTTCAGAAATGTTTATTGTTCCAGCTCATTAAAATGTTATGTCTCTCGGACAGTATTTCTTAAAGGCCATAAAATTAATAGTGTATTTTAAAAGCTTTATTGGCATTTACTTCCTAAGTCTAATTTAGCCCCCATGTTTAATTGTGCTATCTCCTACAGGCTGGGAATCCGGCGGTTAATATGACTTCTCTGTTTTAAAGGACACACATTGCCTCCAGGGCTAGCTTCCGTATTCTCGAATGTGTTTATTTCACACTGCCTTGCCTTTTCATGTGCTCAAATCCTGAGACTCTGTCAGAGCTAATCTGGGACTGTATTTCTTTGTGTCTTAAAATAATGCGGAAATTTCAATTAACAGCTAATCATGTCCCTGGCCTGGCAGAAGGCACAAATCTAAAACCCTGATTCTCAGTTCCTGGGGTTAAGTTTTAAAACTTTCACTACAGAGAACAAGGGCGGTGCGATGAATATTTACTGAGTGCCTGTGATAGGCTGGGCCTTGCATGGCCCACGGAGGGGTAGACGGCACATGCATTACCTCAGGGGTAGCACAGTCTACCTTTTCCACCTCCTGGTACACACGCACTTCCCAGCAACAAACTCCTTGACCTTTTGAGGGAACGTGCCTTCCACCTTCTAGTCTATTTAGAATCCGTGCGATAAGAATACCTCTTCCTCATTAGTCTTCCTAAGTGGAGTTGCTTTTACTCGTCATTCCCAAACCACTAGGACAAATATTCGGAGTCAATATTCACAGGAGACGTCAGACTCCCTGGAGGCGTATCTTCTCTCTCATCCTTACTGTTTGCTAGCCATCCTTGATCACAGCCCCTGCGCACCTCTGACCAAGCCCGGCTACCTTTTTCATTCACCCCATCTCCCAGCATCGGCCTGAGCATGGGTAGTGTCTCCTGCAATAGTCTTTTTAAAAAATATATTGTTACTGATTTCAGAGAAGGAGAGATAGAAACTTCAATGATGAGAGAGAATCATTGATCGGCTGCCTCCTGCACGCCCCATACTGGGGACTGAACCTGCAACCCGGGCATGTGCCCTGACCGGGAATCGAACTGTGACCTCCTGGTTCATAGGTTGACACTCAACCACTGAGCCATGGCAGCCGAGCCTGAACTACTCTTCCAGTGTCTTTACCTCCTCACCCCTTCACCCCTTCACCCCTTCACCCCATCCATTGGTTCAGTGCATATTCTGCACTCCAGAGAACAGTATCCTAGAATTGTCCAATCAGAAGATGGGAAGGCTGGGACATTTATGTACTCACATCTTGGGGCTGTGGTGAGACCAAGAGGTGGGATGCTGGCCGGTAATACAACTGTACAGTGCAGCTATGCTGGACTCTGGTGGCTGGAAGGATGTACAGAGACCAGAAGCATCTGCTGTATGTAAAACGTATTCAAAATACAAGGGCAGGGGCTTTTTCCTTATTGCCCCTGCATTGCCAGCACCCATACCGGCTCCAGTACATGGGTTCCCATGAGTGGCGTAGTGTCTGCTGAATACAGATGAAATAATTGAGTAAGTAAACAGCGAATGAATGAATGAAAGTGTGCTGAAATTTTTCAGGGGTATTCAATATTGTAGTGTTTCTTAGATGAAGAAACTTTAGAGTGAAATTCAGATGAATGTTTTGTAGATGAATCACAGGATCTCAGATCTGTACCTTGCTATAGACGTGATTGGCAGCCTTCAGCAGATCTCCCATTTGTTCACGATATCACTGTTTCTGGATTTGACTGGCCATGATCCAGTTTAGAATAGTGAGTATAGCATTGACTTTTAGATTGAGTGCTCTGCTCTGCTCCTGCTTGGTGGTTTAGCTGACACATTCCCGAAGGCATTACTTGAGATAAATTTTAAAATAGGGATCATGTGTCTGTGGGCAAAGATGGACCATAGAGAAGACCACACACAAACGGAAACGTGGGGATAAGAAAGCTTTGAGTGTATTTCCGGGTAACAGTGACTAATTCGAGTTTAGGATGTTTGACGTGTGCACATGGGAGGAAGAGGAAATCTGTGCAAATAGGATTGGAGCTACCGTGTGCAGGGCCTTGGAGTAGCAGGCTTACATACCGCATCCTCACCTTCACACAGTCCAGTTACTGACTGGCCACGATGCCCGGCATCTACAGTACGGCTCACACTCTCTGACAGTCCGTCTACTAGATGCTGTACCCCTAAACCCACTCCGCCTCAGTCTGTCCTCTCCCAGACCCTGTACCAGGGTCACCTCTGGCGTGAAGTTCTTCCCACCTGTCTCATGCTGGCATTGCCGACCTATTTATGTGTTTTATCTTCACTCTTAATAAGAAGCCAGCCAGGGACAAGCCATCCTCAATCCCCTATGTCAGCCAGCAGACTCCGTGCCCAGAGAAGACGCAGTAACTAGTTGGAAAGTTAAAAGCATCCAGTTTGGTGATGCTACCGGAATCTCTTGTATACGTGAGTTTTTTAAAAAGTTAGTGTGTTTTCAAAAAAGTTAGTGTATTTGAGGAAAAGGCTAGTAGTGTGTAGTCGCACATATTTTAACCTTTGTTGTCTATCCGATTTTGTGTGCATCTGAAGAGGTGATAACAGTAGAAGGCGGGGTGCAGGGATAGGTATGACAGTGTGGGTGTACTTGTTTTCATATATTTCGTAACTTTTTGTTGTCTACACCGCTGACAGCAAAGGAATCCAAGTGATCGGACCGGATTTCTTTATTTTTCACACACTGTAGAAAATTTCATTTAAAATCCCTAATCTAAAGGTAGAAACATGTTTAATTTGGTACAATCTGAGGCATATTAAAATAAACATAGAAAACTTATTATTTATTTACTGTACTCCTCACCCAAAGATATTTTTCCATTGATTTTTAGAGAAAGTGAAAGTGAGGGGGGGCAGAGAGAGAGAGTGAAAGTGACGGGGGAGAGATTCAGAGAGAGAGAGAGAGAGAGAGAGAGAGAGAGATCAATTGGTTGCCTCCTGCACACGCCCCAACTGGGCTGGGGATAGAACCTGCAAGCAGGATACATGCCCTTGACCGGGACTGGGAATAGAACCTGCAAGCAGGATACATGCCCTTGACTGGGAATTGAACCCGCGACCCTTTGGTCCCCAGGCCGACACTACTTCACCCAACGGGCCAGGGCATAAAACTTGTTTTGATTAAACTGCACCCATTCACTTTACTCACCACCCATAACGGAAATGCCTCGTAGGGTCTCCTTGGGGTGGATGGTTTGGTCCTGGTACCAGTTGCTGTGAACAGTGCGCCTCTCACACTGGGAGGGTCCCTTTCCTTGAGCTCCTTTCCTCCCTTCCTCCCACCTGTGCTCTCCCTCTCTCAATCTCTCTCTCACTCTCCTCTCTCAATCTCTCTCTCTCTCTCTCTCCTCTCTCTCTCTCTCTCACACACACACACACCCTCAGTTTTTGCTTCTTTCCTGCATACTTTGCCTTGGAATTAGTCTTCATGGAATCTTGTTTTTTCGGCTTATTTCCTAGATGGGAAGTGATGGAGTTTTACGCCTCAGCACGTCAGCTCTAAATAATGAGTTCTTTGCATATGCAGCCCAAGGATGGAAGCAGCGGCTGGCGGAAGGTAAATGCCTATTTCCCGCTCCTACTTGACCTGTCTGAGTGCACACGCTGTACTGAGCTTGCACCTTTCTCTGCTTTCCAGTCTTTTCACCCCCCTGGAGTCTACTTTAATTTAATAAAAATTCACATTCTATTCCAAGGGACTTCACCAATGCTTTTGTTACACTTGGCATCTTTCATATCAGACATTTTTGAAGAAAGCATGATGTTATCCAGAACATAATAAAAATGTTGCTATAGCAAGATATTGGGGGAAAGTGTTAAATTTAATTACTTGTTTGATGCATTTTATATTTTACTAGAGGCTGGTGCACGACATTCATGCACTCGGGGGGAGGGAGAGTGATCCCTCAGCCCGGCCTGTGCCCTTTCACAGTCCGGGAACCCTCGGGGGATGTCCGACAGATGGCTTAGGCTCGCTCCCTGCGGGGAGCGGATCTAAGCCACAGTTGGACATCCTTAGTGCTGCAGCAGAGGTGGACCGCTGTGCTTTCCAGCCGTCAGCCCGGCTTGTGGCTGAGTGGCACTCCCCCTGTGGAGCACACTGACCACCAGGAGGCAGCTCCTGCATTGAGCATCTGCCCCCTGATGGTCAGTGTGCATCATAGCGACCAGTCATTCTGCTGTTTGGTTGATTTGCATATCACTCTTTTATTATATAGGATTCATGTCCTGGGGCGTAAGGAATCTTCTTTTAATACTTTCTTCCCTTGAAGCCACCACTTTACCTTATCCTTCCTTTTGTCACCAGGCTTCTTGAAAGACTAACAATATCAATGCTACCTACCGCACTTTATTCCCTCACCCACTCAGCTTGTCATGGTTGGGTGTGGCCCCTCTGTACACAATGAAATAGTCTCTCCTAGAAAATGCTGACGGCTTCCTAACGGCCAAGTCCGGTTTCCTTTCCTCAGTCCTTACAATTCATGTTCCTTCTCCAGTTTCTCCTTTGCTTTTTATCCCATCCAACTGGAAACCATCCCCAGTGGACATTCATAATATAAGTAAAATCTCTTCCTAAAGCTGCCTTTCTGACCGCCGTTCCTCAGCTTCTTTCCGGATCCCCTCTTCTCTCATTGGAAGGTAAATGTTAATGCCTCCATCATTCTCTTCCCTGACATTTTCTTTTGTAACTTACACATACTCTCTACCCAGCCTCCTTCCCCTCGCTATGGCCCACACCTGCCTTTCACTCCTCTTTCTTGTTCCTTGGTGTTCCATTCCCAGCGCCTACTGGATCCCCTAGCTGATACCAGGCACCTTCAAAGCAACAGGCCAATGCTAAACTCCCCATCTTCCCTGTAGTATCTCCGATTCCTTCTGCCTTCTCAAGGTTAATATCGCCACCCTCCTCACAGCTCCTCACTTTAAACCTTGACAGCATCTTTGATCTTCTTCTATCTCCCTAGGTCCATCTGGCCAGGAAGTGTTAACTGTGCTGTGAGTCAGCGTCCCCTTCCTGGTCCCACAGCTACTGTCCGACTGCGCTTTCCACCTCTCCTCTATGGTAGTCAGCGGGCTCCTAGGTGGAGTCCTTCAATGTCTTTGCCCTGTTTTTAACTGCTTCTTTGGCCAGATTTCCCCCTCATGGACCATCACCAGGACCTCCCTCTGTGTCTGACAGGAAACATTCAGAGCTCTTGTTAGAATACACGTTGGGTAATTGGCGGCAGCCTGCCTTTCCTATTTCATTTCATCCTATGCTCTATTCACAATTGTCCACTCAAAAGAACATAAATATACATATTCATATCTCTGTGCCTTCTGCGTTAATTACTTTATGAAAGCTTGATCATCTTTGAGAAGCTAACTCAAGAATCAGTTCCAACAGACTGTGGAATCTCAGAGGGAAGGCAGGAGTGGGTGGGAAGAGATCAACCAAAGAACTTGTGTGCATATCTGCATAACCCATGGACACAGACAATAGGGAGGTGAAGGCCTGGGGTGGGTAGGGGCAGGCTAGAAGGGGTCAATGGGGGAATAAAGGGGACATATGTAATACTTTCAACAATAAAGATATTTTTTAAAAAGTATCAGTTCCAATACGTGGTCTTCTCTAATAGATTTAGGCAGAATTAAATGCTTTCCCTTCTATACTTTTAGTACATTTATCCCATCACGGGCTTTTGACATCATATTATAGCTAAAGGTATGCCTACTCTCTCACCAGACAGACTTCATTAAGGACAGTGGGTCCACTCTCATTCCCAGCCCTGAGCATGCAGGACATTTGCTAAATGCTTTAGGTTCATCTGTGCCTCAATGACCGTTTAAGTGATGTTCATAAAAAGAGAAGCTGTAGAAATATTACCGGTACTCAGCTTTTAGTCTTCAACATCCATAAAAGTCTACTCAAACTAATGACATGTTTTCTTTATTAATTGGCAAGAGATGCGGCCCCTTTGACTCAATATATAAGCCTTTTCTTTCTAGGAGAGTTTACGCCAGAAATGCAATTGCGGATAAGGCAAGAAATTGAGAAGGAAAAGAAAACAGAACCTTGGAAAGAAAAATTCTTTGAAAGGTTTTATGGAGAAAAGTAAGTGCTAGAGCATTTTTTCTCATTTCTCTTAGAAGGAAATGAAAATGTAATTCTCTGCTTCGCATAGCATACTCATATGCTGTAAAACTTAATAAACCTGTGATAAAAGGCAATAGTCCCTCAGTGTAAGAAACTGCAGGGAAAATTATAGTGGCATATCAGCACTTAAATGATTAAAAATGCATTTTCAAGGGTTTATAACTTGTCCATGAAAATTCATTTTGGACTGAAAACAGCATGAAATCCCATGGAAGTCAATTTTGACTTTCTTAACTGGATTTTAGTCAAAATCTCCGTTTTTATTAATCCAAGTTATTTTTATTAATGAATACTTTAGACCTAAGTAGTTTTAGACATTTAATCCCCACATTTTCCCCAAAATACTGACCATGCATTATATATATATCTGTTTAGTCTTTATTTCAGGGAGAGCTTGAGGTGTTACCCTTCACTCTACCCATCTTTCTCTTGTGGTGCAACCTGTTTTAAATTATTTTTATCGTGTGTGTTTCTTTTCAAAATAATACTGGCCACACATAGCGTGGCAGTGACGGAACTAAATTGGAAGTATTTCTCCATTGCTTCACGGTTAGAGGGACGTACCTATTCTACGTGAGCAGAATCGGCATCTCAGAGACCATCCGATCCCGAGAAGGAGGAGGGATTAAGAAGCTGACACTGACAGTAACTTGAGACCCTCCTAAGTAGAGGAATTTGAGCTTTAACTCCCACGTACATGAGTAATGCTTAGATTAATGCCTGAGAGTTATTTTGTGTAAAAGATACTGAGGTCGTGTAGGTAACAAAACCTGTACCTTTGGACTCATTTCACAACCCCCCTCGTCTCTCCCCCTCCCCCATCCTCAGTAAATGAGGAAAAAGCATCAGAAGGAATGTCACAGGGGCTGGTGTTCTTCACAGAAAGGAATCGCATGCCAGACGGCCTCCTTACCCTTTGGTGACTTGCCCCAAGGCAGTGCTCTGGAGTCGGAAGGCTTGTTTTCAGGGGCTGTCCTAGGACCTTGGATATGTAAACGTATTTAAGCAAAAGTAAAAGAAGATCATTACCATCTTTTTTTTCAAAAACAAAAATGTGGCAGGCTAGGTCTGTGCCTTCCTAGATAGTCACTGGCAGTGTTACTCATGCCTGGCCATATCCGATCCTCATCGGAGCTTTGAAAAATAGGTACAGGTTTCCAGAACCCACCCCAGACATATCGTTTGGGCATGTGGAGCCCACCCTCATCACCCTCGTCTGACAAAGGGAACGTTGGGGGCACGCTTTTCTGTGACGGCAGAAGCATAACTGAGGCACTTACCTCCAACACGCTCGTCCTGAATTATTATTGGTGTTGGGCCCACTCTTTCATGAACCCAACATTTATCCAACATCTCCTGGGTGTCAGACACCGTCCGAGATGCCGGAGGTACAGTCATCTGGGAGCGTCCTGGCTCTGCCCTCAGAAGGCCTACATTCCAGAGTCCATGTAGCTTTCCTTCCTCCGACAAATAATCATTGCGCGTACTCTGGCCATGACATGTTTCTAAGAGTTTTGCTAATGTTACTTGACGTAATTCTCCCAACAAATCCTGTCAGGTGGATATCATTATTATCCTTATATTTTAAAAACGGTGTCCAAAATGGAGGGACAGTGAAACTTAATTTTACCTGATTTATAAGGCCTGGAGAAGTCGTTTGCTCAGGGTCTTAATGCTACAAGTTCTCAGAAAAATTCATACACATACATTTTTTTAAAAATATACTTTTATTGATTTCAGAGAGGAAGGGAGAGGGAGAGAGAGGTAGAAACATCAATGATGAGAGAGAATCATGGATCAGCTGCCTCCTGTAAGCCCCCCATTGGGGATAGAGCCCACAACCGGGGCATGTGCCCTGACCGGGAATCGAACCGTGACCTCCTGGTTCATGGGTTGACGCTGAAGCACTGAGCTACACCAGCTGAGCCACATACATTTTTTTACATGGCATTGGGGGTTTCACAGACTCCCATAGGTTGATCAGGCTAAAGGTCCCTGCCCCAGAGTGTGACAGCTACAATACTGTAAGTAAGGCTCCCATCTCCACTCCTGAGCTCCAAATACAAACAGTTTTTTTTCACTTAACTGCTTTCTTGCTATAGTTTTCCATAGAGTTTCTGTCTCTTAAAGGTACTGGACTTCTTGCTTGCTTTTTCCTGTCTTTGATTTCATATCGGATAACAGATATATTCTGGACATTTCATTGACTGCCCTTCTAGTTTTGTTACTTTTAGATTGCCCACGTTTTCCCAATATGTGAGGGATTTTCCCTAGTATCACACACTTTCACTTGACTGACACCATGTGCCTTTTCCTTGCTCAGAGTTTTTCCCACAATGTTGCTATCCAATTTCACTTCTAGTTAAATCTGTCTGATTTCGGTTTTTTTCTCTTTGAGGTCTTTATGATGGTTCTTATTGGCTTACTCTGCTTGTGATATAGTACTGTGGCATATTTTAGTTACTTAGAAATCACCCACATGTATGCTAACTCAGAATTGTAAGAGTTGGTCTGATTTGCAGTTTAGATTTCTGAGGGCAGGGTTTCCTTTGTGTGGTTATGTGGTGTGCTCTAAGCCTCTTCTTTCTATGCCTTATGCCATCTTAAATCTATTTTCCCATGAAAATAAAATGTTGATATGGGCATATTTCACACAGTGCTGTTTTCTATATGATTTATATGATTTCTATATGATTTGTAAGTGTATACACACTTTTTTTCTGAGAGCTCAGTTGATATTTTTTTTCTTTCCAGATTTAACCCATTGGAATTCATAATTATTCAAAGTGTGTATACATTTTTGGGACACCCTATATATCATATACATACATCCTATCTAATAAAGAAGGAATATGCTAATTGACCCTCACTCCATCGCAAAGATGGTGGTGCCCATAGCCAATAAGGAGGGGATATGCTAATTAACTGCCATGCCCTCACAAAAGATGGCTGCCCCCATGTGGTCAAAGATGGCCACCTTCAAGTGGTCAAAAGATGGCCACCACAAGATGGCCGGCAGGGGAGGGCAGTTGTGAGCGATCAGGCCAGCAGGGGAAGGCAGTTAGGGGTGGCCAGGCCAGCAGGGGAGGGCAATTGGGGGCGAACGGGCCTAAAGGGGAGGGAAGGCAGTTGGGGGGACCACGCCTGTAGGGGAGGGCAGTTGGGGGTGACCAGGCCAGCAATGGAGGGCAGTTGGGGGCAACTAGGCTGGCAGGGGAGGACAGTTGGGGGCAACCAGGCGGGCAGGGGAGGGCAGTTGGGGGCGACCAGGCTGGCAGGGGAGGGCAGTTGGGAGTGATCTGTCTGGCAGGGGAGCAGTTAGGCGTCGAACAGGCTGGCAGAGGAATGGTTAGGGGGTGATCAGGCTGGCAGGCAGAAGCACTTAGGGGCAATCAGGCAGGTAGGCAGGCAGGCAGGCGAGCAGTTGGGAGCCAGCAGTCCCAGATTGTGAGAGGGATGTTCGACTGCCAGTTTAAACCGGCAGTTGGACATCCCCCAAGGGGTCCCAGATTGGAAGGGTGCAGGCTGGGCTGAGGGACACCAC